GGGTTCAGGCTGGTAACAAAATTGAATATAATGGTTTTTCAATGCCAGTAACTAACCTGATATTGTAAAAAAAAAAAAAACACTCTGCAGGCCCAATATGACCCAGCGCCGCTGGCTGACAAGCTCTGGCTCATTCACTTACTGACTTATTTTTCAAACTCCATTTCTTGAGCACCTACTATGTGCCAGGTTTTCGGCACTATGGACACGACACTGAACACAACAGACAAAACCCTTGTCGCCCTACAGTTCATGTTCTAGCGAGAGAGGACAAATAATAGCGAGAATGCATAGGTAAAATGGGTCGTGTATGAGATGGAAGTGAGTAGGAGGGAAGAATAAAGCCAGCAAGGGGTTAGGAGGTCCGGGGAAGTCGCGATTGTAAATAGAACTGTCAGAGGAGGGATCTCTGAGAAGTTTACATCCCAGTAAACTCCAGAAAGGGCTGAGGATGAGATGGCTGAGTGAGGAAAGTCGCTACAGATATAAGACCCGGTATCATTACCACATAAGACCATTCGGCCTGGTAGGATCACAGAGCAGGGACGCGCCCTCAGGAACATAAGAACTGGAAACCTGATTTCCTGTCTCTGAACTTAATGCCTATGTCTAGCCCCCATTCTCCTAAGTGGCAAAAAAAAAAATATATATATATATATATATATCAGGAGTTTGATTTCTGAACATATGAAGTTTGAGATGCGAATTAGAGATGCAAGTGGAGATGGTGAATGAGCAGTTGGATATCTGGGGCTGGGACCTGGGGAGTCATTAGCACACCCCTTCCTGTGACATCACCTGTCTCCTAGGGGAGCCTGGGATGGAATTTAAAGCATCATCATAATGATTACAGTAAGGAAAGGGATGTGTCATGGACGGAATGTTTGTGTCCCCCCCCAATTCCTATGTTGAGGTCCTACCCCCCAAGGTCATGGTGGCAGGAGATAGGGCTCTGGGAGGTGATGAGGGTTGAGCCCCCATGAGTGGGATTTGTGTCCTTTGAAAAGGGACCCCAGAGAGCTCCTCAGCCCCTTCCGCGACTTGAGGACACAGCGAGAAGGGGTCACAATGAACCAGAAAGCAGGTCCTCACCAGACACGATCTGTGGCACCCTCACTTTGGACCTCCAGCCTCCAGGCTGTGAGAACTGAACACCTGCTTTGTAAGCCACCCCGTCCATGGTGCTCCGTGATCGCGGACAGGACACATAGATGCTGTGGAAACACAAGACAGAAGAAGGAGCCATTGCATTATTTTGAGGGGCGAGTCTCCAACTGTGGTCCACAGACCTGGGGCCTCGAGCATCACCTGGGACCTTGTGAGAAATGCAGACACGGTGGCCCCGCCCAGACCTGCTCCATCGGAGACTGTGGGGATGTGCCCAGCCGTGTGTGTGATGAGCCCTCCCCGATGCACACTGAGGTTTGACGAGAAATGTCCAATGACAAGAAATATCAAACCTGACTAAGGGGTTCAGACAAAAGCCGTGCTGGGCGTCAAGGGTTGGCCAGAATAGGAGGCGATCCCCAGACTCTCTGTCCCCCAGGAGGCAGGCAACGTCCTCAGGAAGTTGCCACGGCCTGAGTGACAACACAAGATGTCAGCTGACCACACGCAGCTCAACCAGAGCCCATGTGACCCACCCCGGCCCTGCAGGTCCTTGAGAGCAGACGTCGATGGCTGGCTCAGGGGCCACCGTGCGTGCAGCCTGCATGGTTTAAAGGTCACAGTGAGCAGAGCCGGGGGGGGGGGGGGGGGGGTATTCAGTTTTCTCAATGCGCATCGCGGAACCCCCAACGAAAGAGGAAAAAGAATTCTGGAAATCAAGCCTGGGAACAGAAAAGATTCCTGCGGGGTCTTTGGTCCCATTTTGCAGACGAGTCAGCACATTTTGTGATACCGCAGTGCCACTTGAGTCACTTAGGACGCAATTAATACGTCCTGAGACTTCCGCAGGCACTTACAGCACCTTCCGGAACAGCGGCGACGATGGCTCCATTGCACACCGCCACTTCGTCCCCTCGGTGCTCCTCTTAATTATTTATATATTCTGGAGCAGCCAGGTTCCCTCCCGCCAGAGCTCAGAAAGGTAATAAATGAGGAAAGTCAATGATCTGTAAATTACAACATTGATTAAAGAAGTGATTACTGATACAACCCTGGCCTGGCTGTTATGCTAATGGCTGCCCAGATCCAGGACGGTGTTTACATGCTAATGACAAGCCTGGGACCGCGACTGAAATGGGTTTCCACCCTTAATCAGGAGACACACATTTTCAAACCACTCTGGGCCGTGAGCGAGAAGACCCATCCATGTGATCCCCTCCCGGCTGCTCCCTGCCACTGTCCCTGGCAGATGGAGGAAGTCTCTCTGCCCAGCCCTCCCAGCTGCCCCTCCAAACAAAAGTGTGAATTGAAGATGAAAACTGGGCCCAGAGAAGCTGTTCATAGCTCCTGGAAGCTGTGGAAAGACAGCAGATCAGAAGAGTTCATTGCTCAGTGTCGGATGTTATTTAGCCGGGTCCCCAAGACAGGAGGTTCCACAGGAGTGAGATAAACAGATGGGCAATGAAAGGGCTCTGTGACGAGTCCACGGGTGGCTTCATTAACTCCGCAACGTCACCCAACACTGTGCACGTGCGTGTCTATAGCGAGAGCTCGCTGTGTGTGTGCTCCCAGGGGTCAGCAACCCCAAGGAGGTCAGGAGACAAGCTCGAGTGCTTTCTGCAAGTGTTCAGGCTAACTCCCTGTGTTTCCACTGCTCTTAGCTTCATCTTATCTCAGTCTCTCACCACACCTCCCC